CGGTTGAAACTTTGACTGTTTACGGAGTTACGGTGCACTGTGAAGAGTGTCAGAAAATGGGTTTGAAAGACCCGTGTTCTAAGCAACTAGAATTGACAGTGAAAAACAGTCAGGGCGAAAGGATTGAAGCAAAAGACTCCTTGTGCCCCTTCAAACTCGAGGCGGTAAAACGCAAAATGAGTCCGCAACAACTCTTTTGTAATAAATCATGAATGCCAAAGGAAAACGGCTCAATTTAATGAATAGGGCTAAAGAAATGTTTTCTTATGTAATGCAACCAATCAGTTCTCGTCGAGGACATTTCTTAATCAAAGAAATTGAGGGTGACCGAAGCTTGGAACGATACGCTATTTAGAATGATAAGTTACCGTTACTAGGTACGACCAAAAGATGCAACGAACATTGCGCGCTTATCAGTCGCTATGACTTCTTCAAAGCCATTATAGGTTGAAAAAATGTAGATCCTTTGGTTCCTGTTGTGATAAACGTATTCAGATTTTTAACAGAAGATTGTTCAAAATGCAAAGAGCAAACTTGGCATTTTGTCATTTGCCGTTCGCATCAACATGGTCCTAAAGAATCCCAAAAGGCCAGTCTTATCATTTAAATATTTCTCGGTTGCTTCGCATTAAGTGGAAGAGTTATTCAAGGGAAATAATTTTCTTTCACATGGCGTACACGTCATGATTCATCCTTTTGCTTAAGGGTAGACGAGTGTCACGAATGCCACTTCCAAGCTTGCGCGTTATTTCAATATCCCCTCTTTCACCCACATCTGGTGGGGAGAAATGCGTTAACATTTACTTACCTTGTGCGAAAGATAAACCCACAAATAAGAACACAGTTATGTGCTCAGGAAACATGTTTCCAGCGACTGATTTGTTCGAAACGAAGCAAAGCAGTTGGTCAACACAAATCTTAACTGCGTCCTCTAAGAAACCTGACACCGTTTTAACAGAAAAGTTCCTTTTTTAGCGACTTTGTTTTGACATAACCATGGCAACACATTGACATAAACTTGAAGGATATCAAAACGTGTCATTACCAGTTGAGAGTACGGAGGAAACATTTCATGTTCGATTTGCTTTAGAGAGTTCGTTAACAAACATCTGCACCACATTGTTGCCGTAAGATTATTGCCAATGGATTTTTGACGCAGATCCCTGATTCATGTTACTAGAGTGCACTTGTTTTAAGATAGCCGTCGGTAACAATTTGTTTCACGACAAAGTTTTCAAGCCAAAAATATTGAGTAAGAGATCTCACAAGGTCCCGATTTAAACTGGTGGTTAATCTTCTTGGTTGGTTTTTGCTTATTTATAATTTATACTGTAGTATGTACACTAAATGACTTCAATTGTTCCATAGCAACGGCTTTGTTATCTTACAGGCACACATGTACAACCCTCATCACATCCTTTTTCTTTTATTATTTCAGTAATCAAAATTATTTTCCTGACTGATCAGGGATCTAATTAAAGTTTCAAGTTACAGTAATTTAGAGGCTGATCACTTTAACCGGGCGAAGATCGACCTTTGTAGTACAAGCAAAAAACTTTTTTAGTTTCATTCTGAAAATGTGTTAAAGCTTTCATAATAACTGACGTCTCACGGTGTCGAACCCTGGTGGTTGTCTAACTGTGATCATAGCTAGAGATGACGAGTGGAAATTAAAGTAACACTAGTAGTGACTTCGCCCTTGTGAAAATTGAATACAAAATGAGCGTTTTGTAACGCATGCATGCTTCCATTATGGCAATATGCAGATGAGACATATTTGACCACTAAGTTTACACAACACCATGCCAGCCCGCATCAATGCCTTTATAAAATATTGAAGAAATGTAAAATGGTTTCCGTGTTCATATAGCCTGATGTAAACACTTGGAAGGTTGGGAGAAAACGAGATAAGCGAAGGAAACCACGACGCGAAGCGAAGTGGTTTCCAGCTTATCGAGTGTTCTCCCAACCTCCCAAGTGTTTACATCAGGCTATGTAAACACGGAAACCATTTTACATTTCCTTTATAAAATAACTAATGAAAGAGGAACGAAAACCGCGTTTACATACGCTCATGTAAAATGGTTTTATGGCCAATCAGAGTGCGCGTACGATTTGAATTATTTTATAAATGTCAATATCAGACAAAATGGCAATCTGATAACTGTCTGGACATTGTCTTGAGCCGTAATTTACACTTCAACGAAAATGCTGCGATCTTCCCTGAAAACGAAAAAGTTAGAGTACAGAAAAAAACTTGGAAATATTGCCTCAGAGTAGCTGCGATAATCACCAAAAGAAGATTGCAACTCCCACTTTCATAGACGTTGCTTCTGCGTCAAAAATTGATATCTGAAAAACTAAAAAACCCTTTCAAAATTCAAGGAGTATGCTATGCAAATGAAATGGAGATTGCTCATAAACGATCGCAAAGCATACACAGTAAATGTGCGAACGCGTGTCAGGATAAATATGAAAACAAGCAAGAATCTTTGGAGTCCAATAAAGCCACAAAATCGTTTGATCCTACGCAAGAAGAATGTGTTATTCAATACTC